TAATTTAAGATATATATAAAAGTGTCAGACCTTCCGGAACATTTTCAAAAGTTATGTTGAAAAAGTAAATTTTTTGTGAAAAAGTTGTCATTTTAAATCCCCCCCTGTGGGCAGGTTAAGTGTCAGATTTACAAAAAAAATATACCAAATGAAAGGTAATGATATCATGCATCTATATAAAAAAAAATTATATTGATATGTTCATTTTTGAAAAAGTATTTAGTAAAAAAAATTTTAAAAATTTCGAAAATTAGCTATTTTTAAATTTGTAATTTTTTTGGAGGTTTCCCCCATTTACGGGGAACGAGGGAAATTTTTTCAATTTTGAAGGGTAATGTCTTCGACTAGATACGATTTGTGATCTTTTGACGTATAGTTGAAAGAAATCCGTTCGGTGAGAGCTGAGAAAAAGTGGTAACAAAAAAAAAACCAATACCTTCTCAGCTTCGCATTGAAGCTAAAAAAAAAAAAAAAAACACATCATGATAAAATTAATACCTTCTCAGCTTCGCATCGATGCTAAAAGTAATATAAATATTCAATGGATCAAAGTTATTAAAGATGTTAAAATCTAGTAGGATACCTGTATAATTTAAACTAATTTTTAGTTTTTGTCATGAAGTCTAATAAAAATAGTTAATAGATTTTATTAAAAAAAACTGTTAAAATAACAGGTTTTTTTAAAAATTTTTTATATTAATCTTAGAAAAAAAAAATTAATACACAATAATGTGTACAGTAATTATAATTAAATTTTATTAGTTTTAAAATAAAAATAGTTACAAATAAATATTTACATAAAATTAAAAAATAAATCTTAAACAATAATTGTTTTATGATCTGAATAAGTACTGTTATTTTTAGTTACTTATGGAATACCTAAGTATTCTTTGAATCAAAGATGATTTTAAAAATGATTACATAAATATTATTCTTATGATTACAAATTTCACAAAGTAGTACTTAATTTCTGAGTGTTGTTCTTTACAGTGTATTTTGGCCGTAAGCTAAATAAATGATTAATACTAAACATATATATTTATACAAAATATTGTAAAATATCGCGTTTAGCAACACCTTTCGGTTCTAAGGTGAGCCAAAATAGTAATAACCATACAACATATAAACTGATCACCTGAAACAATATACTAATATGAGTCTATAAACTCAACAAAATATGTCATAGTACATTTTAAAATATCGAGAAGTCAAACAATTAAATTAAAAATAAATCTCAAGAATAATTTAATTACATTATACTTTTGAACAAAATTTTAATTAAAAAAAATATACACGCATAACGGCCAACCTACATAGCTCAGTTGGGAAGGTGTCATGCATTAGTGCACAGAAATTTTATTTTGCTAAGCTAAGTAAGTTTTCCTATTCACTTTACCACATGTAATAGCTTTTAAGAGAGGCAATAAATATATATAAATGATATACAGAATGATCAATTAAGGACAACACACTAATTTTCTCAAAAACTTCTGAATATTCTCCATTATTCTATAGGGAAATACCGTTTATAATTAAAAAAACTATAATAAATGTTTAGTTAAATAATTTTTTTTTCATCTTTTTAGGAAAATAAACACCCATTTTAATTTGGATATGATAGAAAAAAAATCCAAATAATTTTATTTTGGTAATTTGTTTTATCTGATCAACTATTTGTTTAAAGATGTGGATTTAAAATAGAAATTCGACATAGTGTTTATAATATTGGAAACAACAGTAATCTGTTTCAATTATATGTTTAATTATAATAAATTATTGTTCGTATTTATTCTTGCTATCATAAATTACAGATATGATAACAAGAATAGTCAACAAAAACTTGTTTATATAACATCATATTCATGAAGTTATTATGAATATTGTATGCTAAACAGCAAATTATCAATTCAAAAAATTATTAATCTTGCGTAACTTTAAATAAGAGACATAAACACATAATTTTTTGATCATCGATCAAAAAATTATGTTCTTATATCATATTATTGAATTACAAATAGAGGTTCCCATTAGAGAAAATTAAAGTTAAAGTTTTTTAACCCTGAAATAATGAATAAACATTTTTTAATTACACATTATTATATAGTTTCTTCAATAAAAAAATCTTTTACTATATTAAAATTGAAAAATGAGTGTCTTATATATTTGATTATCTATATAATATTACATTGGAATTTAAAAATATGAAATACGAAGCACTAACTTATATAAAATAATTTAGATACATTATCAGATGTCTATTTGTTTAATTTTATCAGAGATCTAAATAAATTAACACATTTTAAAAAAATATTAAAATATGACATTGATTAAATTTTTGTTACAAAAAAAATTTATTTATACATTAATTTTGTGCCATATTTATTAATTCTAAGATTCCTAAAATTAAATAAGATCTATAATATAGAAACTTTAAATCTATAACAACATCTTTTAAGTTATAACATTATAAAAACCTAATACTTAATATTTACACTAAATACAAGTTATAACAACTTTTAAAATTGAACTAATTGATGATTAATTGAATTTAAAATTATCTCAAATTGACTTATCGATTTTGTTTTAAAGTATATTTCAAAGTTCATAACTATACAGACCTATACATTGCCTTCCATTCGTTCTTCTGCCCGGGTGCGCATTCTGTGTATAAACGCCTTGCCTTTATTCTTTCTGAAGTTTTCATATGGATCATTCAAGCTGATGCCCACACCCTTATATTGATCGGTCCTATCTCGGATCTAATTTACAAATGGCGACCAATACAAAGCTCAGGTCAATACATATGGTATAATAATAACCAATTTACCGTGTACAAATAAAAATAAAATAATGATCAATTGGTAATATTTTGCAACCATGGATTTACTTACGTCACCACTGCTTATTGGTGTGTCGATACCTTGCTCTTTTGAACCAAGACCAGCACCACCCCAGCCCATTTTTTTCAAAAGTTGATGACCTTTATTTGATTCATCTAAACGTTCTTGGGCAGTTTTACCAAAGCCCGTACTAAATAATTGTGAAATAACATTAAAATTGTAAATTTGTTTGCAAAGTTCTTCACTTACCCAAACGAAGGAGGTGTAGGACTTCTTTGAGTATTTGGGGGAGATGGAGAAAGTGATTTAGATGGAGACCTTCTTCGTCTATTACGATTAGGAGTTGGAGGAGGACTTTTTTTATTTAATAAACGACGACTTGGACTTCTAGTTTTTGGACTACGACTTCGACTAATCAAAGTAATTAAGTATTATTTATTTTTTAATTAAAGCTTTGTAATTATAATATTTTAATAGTCGCTAACCTTCTATAACGTTTTTTTCTTACAGGAGATTTATCTCTCATAGAAGGAATTATAATGGGCGAAGGAGATTTTGATTTTTCTCTTATCTTGTTAGCAATATCATCTTCTTTTTGTTTTTTAGCTAAGTTTTTAGCTTTATAATATTCATATAAACCAAGTTTTTCCCAACCATCACTAAAATATTATAATGCTTAGACATTTTTATAAGTTTCAATAAAAGTGAACTAAAATAACGGTATACCTATCACGAGGTGCAAAGTGCCCTGGAGGCATATAAAAAGCTTTAACTGCTTCTAATAGTCGTTCTGTTGGAGGAGCTGGAGGAGGTAATCGAATTGTTTCAGGATCTAATGGCCTATATTTACTATCTTCAAGCTAAAAAATAACGTTAAATTTAATATAAATAAATTTTTTTTTAATTTAAATATATTTTTGATACCTTCACTAATGGTACCATAAGACCTGCTGGTAGCTCATAATAAGGCAGAGATGGAACTAAGTCATCAGGTACTATTTCAGGTTGAACTGGAGGCATAGAAAAATTGTTTTGCATGAAATTTGGTGGTGGTCGACTCAAATCAGGAAGTTCCATTGAAGCTGTAAGTAAACTTTAAATTTAAATTTATTGAATATAAATAAATATGTTTGTTTCACTAACGTGGTGGTTGTAAATGTATATTAGGGGGAGGTTGACTAAAAGGTGGTGGAGGTCTATTGTACATAGGAGGTTGTTGCATACAATTCGACATCTGTGACATTCTATAATGATCATCTAAATGATATCCATTATCTGCTTGATGAGGAAAATTTGGTTGGTCACTTTGCATGTAGCCAGTAGACATGTTATTTTGATACAAGGGGGGAGATGGTAATCTGCCTTCATTATAATGTCGATTTCCTTCATCTGAATAAAAAAAAAAAAAATAGGAGAAAGAGCTCTAAAGAATGAATTTATTTAAAGTATTTAGTAATACTGACAAGGTTTCCATTAGATTAAGTTACATAGACTGCTACTTATACAAAATTAATTGAAATTAAAAACGCGAAGATCTTGGCAAAAAAAGGTACCTTTAATTGTTAGAGAAGGTATAAAAAACAATTTCATATTATTCATCAATTATTACATTCTATAATAACTAAACGTTTAAAAATTCTAAAGCTTCATAGTTTTTAAGAAAATTTTAAACCACATTAATTAATGATAATACAGTTTATAAGTAAATTCAAAAAAAGCTATAACATCAAATACTTTTAATAATTAAAAACTCTAGGATATATTTAGGATTTAGATAGCTAAGGATACACAAAATTCAGTCAGACTAGTTTTAAAAAATCATTAATATATTAGAAGTGAAATTAAAAATTAGTGGGTAAAATTATTTGAGTTAATCTTATTTTATTTTTATCATATTATCACAAAATAATCTAACTTCAATATTTTTTTAATTTTACATTATTTATTATTGTTATATTTTTTGTAATTTTATTGTCTTATATACAATTATTTGACTGATATGCCAAATGCTTATGTGATTACCTTTATATATATATATAAAAAAAATTATGCTTAATGCCAAAACTATAGACATAAAAATAAGTGTATAGTGAAAACAGTTCCTACAGTCAATATTATATTATTAACAACCTCTTTTTCAGAAGAGCGTTTTAAAAATTACGGTCTATTATATTAAAAGAATACCATTCCTCCAAAAATTAATACTATTTTAGATTAGCTATGCTTATGGCATAGCTTTTTATGCTACACGAAATCATTTATTCAATTCATCCTGAAATTATAATTAGCTTAATAACAGAAACCTAATTTTTTACTAATATTCAAATTGAAGCATTTGTTAATAATTATGTTAATAATTGCCAGATTTTATTTTATTTTTAATTTTATGTTTACTGAAATAATTAAACTTTTTAAATAATATAAAAATTTAAATAATTTAGTAAAATAAGTATTGTTGTATTTTATAATCATATCAAACTTAAAAAAATTTTATTAGTAAATTTAACTGTTAAAATTTTTGTCCAATAAATATACAAAATTGTTTTCTTAAAACATCCCCTCACAGAATTTGAATACGCTGTATGTTTCATAATCTAATAAAACCTTGGTAGAAGGAATACAACTGATATTTTTATTCAGTTTCAAGCATCCTATACTAATACATATAAAATATTCTTCAAGTCTTGAAAGTCAAACATAATCTTCTTTACTAATTCTCATAAAATTAATTCAACTCATATAATAGTTTTAAACAAGTTAGATTTTTGTTTTTGATCTCATGCTTACCTTGAGCAGTAGGAATTGGAAGAGGATTTAGTATTTGTTTTTGTTGTTCTAATGAACGTTTTTGGTTTTCTATAGTCTAAAATATAATTTCAATAATAAAAGTTATAAGAGAATACTGATCACACTATTATTGAATAATAGTTAATTATTCAAAAATTACAATATACATAACGTTCAAATGTCTTAAAATTAATTTATTAATAAAAATTTTTATTTTATTTATATGTACTTAATTTTCTCATTAAAAGTAATTATGTCATATCGAACAAGATCATACACATGATTAAAATCTTAAATTAAATTTCAATACCCTATAAAATAAGGTGGGGTAATTGTAAATAGTTGTGGTAATTGAATTGCATTTTTTTAAAATAAATGCACAAGCTTTAATTTCAAATTCGCATTTAATATGTTGAATGGCCTTATAAAGATTAAAACTTTTCAACATAAAATAAGTCTGCTAAATAATTTATGAGAAAAAATGAATTTATAATTACCCCATTTCATCCTAATTAAAAATATTGATTTTGAACAATTCTGAAAAATCAATTAACTACTAGGTCTACTAAAATAATTATAGAAGTTGAAGAAATCATACCTGTATTTGATTATTACAATGTGCCAAAAAAGATTGATGTTGACTACGGTAATTTTGCAATGTATTAGTCATTACCATATTTAACTGATTCACAGCTTCCCTATGCTTTTCCATCAGATTATTTTTATATTCTATCAGTGACTGTTCAGGGGTTTTTAACCGTTCCATAACACTATCAGAAAAGTAATGGTTTTTTGTTTCCCATAAACTATATAACTAAAATCAGGTAAAAAAAGAATAATTAATTTTTACATAATATATATATATATATATATATATATTCTTTTTTAATATATACTTTTTGTAATTTAGACTTTTGTTCTTCGTTAGATTTCGTTATAGCTGAACAAAACATAGGTACAATAATAGATTCTAGTGATGATTTCAGAACATTTTCTGATTTTCGAAGACTATACAATAATTTTTGATCATTATCATAATATAATAACAATTTTTTTAATTTCTCAGTAAAATTCTTACCAATGATGGACAGTATCATTAATTAAATAAATTATATGTAATTGTTTGGAAAATTCTGACTTTGGATCAGTAACTCTAAAAAATAATAATATTAAAACTCCATATATGTATGTATATTAAGAAGTTTTCTTACTCAGTTAGTAAATATTGCGAAATAACATCAATCTTTTGTTGACTACCAATATGTTTCAAAATCCATGCTTTTCCATTAGCTATTGCTTCTTTTGTACAAGCTTTAACTACAGGGTCTAATACAGATGATAGCTCAACTAAAGATAAATCATTTGTAGCTGCCTCAGAATTAATCCATTCTCGTTGCTCAGATAATATTTTATCTTCAGTAGCAACTTGTTGTTGTTGAGCTAACATCTAATATAATAATACATTTAATTAATAATTTAACATTTTCAAATAACTTGGAGTAACATTAATTTGATTTACCATAAGCTGAGCATTAAAATTTTGTTCAGCTTGGGCAATTTGCTGTTGTAAATTTGCTTGTTGTGCATTTAAAGAATCTAGAGTAACTCCTGTTGATTGACCATCATTTTGCTGGGTTAAATTCAACCATTGTGTTGTAGCAGAAGACATATTTAATTGTTGTGTACTAGCTGAATTATTTACAATTGCTCCTTGAGTCATTTCTCTTGCATTATTTTGTTTCAATACTATAAATCAAGTTAAAATTTAATTTAAGAGTTCATAATAAAGAACAATAGGTTATTGACAAATTGATATTTAAAAATTATCTCACAATAAAAGTATTACTAAAAACTATAGCAAAAATGGAAAGCTTCAATAGTTTTGGCTTTATATACAGTAATTTTTTCAATAAAGAAAAATTTTGAATTTTAACTTTCCTTTTCTAGAAATAAATGAAGCTATCCAAATTTTTGGTAGAAAAAAAAACAAAAAAGGTTTTAAATCATGCTACAAAAAAAAGACCATTTTTTTAAATTTTAAACTATTAATTATCAACCATTTCTAATACAACTACTACTATTTACTGAATACTATTATTTATTAACTGATTTTAGGATTATATATTTAACAAATAGTATTATACTTAATACATTAAGTGAAAAAATCATGATTGTTGATAAATTGAATTTTAGTTTATAAATGATCCCATTAAATAGCTTTTTATATTTCTTTAACAACTGTATATTGTCATTCTTTAATTAAAAATAGAAATTTTATAATTTGATTATTAATATAAGATACACAAGTTTAAAAGATTTCCTAAATAGTAACAATTACTTGAATTAATTTTATAAAAAAAACTATTAATGTTATACTTATTCTGATCATTTTTTAAATTTAAGTATTGTTCCTACTTATTTAATACTTTTTTTTTTTAATAGTAATATTCAAATAAAGGCTACTAAAACAATTGTATCTGAAGTCTATAAATTATAAACTTACTGGCTTGTTCTGTGGTAACTTTGTAAAGATAGTAATCAAAATGACGACCACCAAACAAAAATTCAAATTTGGGATTATCCTTCTGTTTAGTTTTAGTCATTTGTTCAAAGTCGGGGCCATTTCTTGCAACAAAAACAGCCAATTTGTCAATAATAGTGCGTAATTCATTATCTGCAAGTTGGACATATATTAATTTTGTCACTTACGAATTTATTATGGTAATTAATGGTTTCACCTTCAGGAGATTTTGGAATATCCATGATTTTTTAAAAATATAAATTTTATTTGCTTTTTCAAACTATCCAACAGATTATTTCAAGATTTCTTAGGAACATGAAATAAATAAAATGACATTTAGTGATCAAAAATTTATTAAAACAAATTAAAACACTTTATTAAGAAACGTACCCAGAATTTTTCTAACAAAATTTGTTTATAAATGTGACTTACGATCAGATATCTCAATATTTTATTTCAATTTACAAAATTGACTAAATTCCGATAACTCCAGAAGTTTGTATTTGCAGTGTCACCAATTGCTCAGAAATAAATTTGTATAATTAATATATAAATTAATGCATTTAATTTTTTATTGTATACTATGCAATATATATACTATGAAATAAAAAAAAATACAGTCAGTATCACAATATATTTCATTTCATACATATGAAATACACGTTTTATGATTTTAAATTTATTACGCATAACAAGTGATTCATTATTATTTATTCCATGAAAAATACTTTAATAAAGCAACTATGAATATATTATATATATATGAATATATAGCCAATATATTGGCTTCAACATAATTCACGTAAAAAGTATTTTGTTCCTAATCTAGATATTTTTGTCTATGGTCGGGACCGCATATTTGTAATGGAAATATATCGATAATATACACAATCGACAGTAAGTTAATTTTAGCTTCGATGCAAAGCTGAGAAGATATTAATTTTACTATGATGCGTTTTTTTTTTGTTTTTTTTGTGTCTGTTACCACCTTTTCTCAACCGATTTCTATCAACGATACGTCAAAATATCGTATCTAGTCGAAGACATTACCCTCAAAATTGAAAAAATTTCCTTCGTTCCCCGTAAATAGGGGAAATCTCCAAAAAAATGACAAACTTAAAAGTGCCTAAATTTTGACATTTTTTCAGTTTTAAGTAAAATGTATTTAAAACTGCCATAACTTTTTAAAAAATGACCAAATCAATATAATTTTTTTTTTTAGATGCATGATGTCTTTACCATTTTATTTAGTATATATTTATAAATCTGACCCTTTACCTGCTCATAGGGGGAATTTAAAATGACAACTTCTTCAACATAACTTTTGAAAGTGTTCCGAAAAGTCTGACACTTTTATATATATCTTAAATTAAAGCTAATGTAATAACTTTATTATGGTAAAAAGAAATTTCGGACTTTATTTTATTTTCATTAGTGAAAACAGACATCAAAGTTAATAAAAAATATTCTTTTTTATATTTTTAACTTTATAATGCTATAACTTTTTGAAAGATTTGTGGATCAATATAATTCATTTTT